TAGTAGATACTTCCAAACAAAAGGAAAAGAAAAAACCGACAAAACGAGACTTCAAAAATATCAAATCCAGACAAATAACACTTCAACAACTCCGACTGTGTTCCACCACCCGCCTCCAAACTCAACTTGACTAACTATAGCAAAGCTATAAAAAATAGAAAAATATGAAAATATCTGACAGCCACTGAAATGCTCATGCATCATCGATGCTGGTTGAACGAAAGGGGGGTTGGTGAAAATGGCAACTGCCGTACGCCAAGCTGTCTATCTGTCTGACTGGCTTATTTCATGCGAAATGGCAAGAATACGAAGAGGCGTTAAGAGGGCGGCTGAAGATTAAAGAAAAAATATAAAACATTAAAAACACACACACACACACACACAAGTAACAATAGAAACAAAATATGGAAATAGATACAAGCAAATGCAAAAAAAAAATCAACTGCTACTTTGTTGCACAGCTGGTGGTGGTTGTGAGTTGGTTGACGAGTCAGCTTTATTATAGGGTTGCTGTTGCAAATGCCAACTCATGGCAAGAAGGCAAACCGCCGCCACGCCGACACAAGTAGACTGAGACAAACCAAGTGTTACTGCACTTTTGTCATTGATTGCTTTTGCGAGTGTCGTACGTATGTATGTACGTACTTAAAACGCGCGCGTGCAGCTGATGCGCGCATCAATTTAAATTCAGCGACAGCAACAACAAGAACAACAACCAAAGTTGCAACTAAGCTGACGCATATCAACCACAAAAGCGTTTGCTAGCCGGCAGTCATGCAACTTGAAAGTCGAGTGAAGCTGAGGATTTACAGGCTAACCTAATATTCGCGGCTTGTCTTTTGGTACGCATGCCGTCGAATTTGGTTTTTTGCGTCACCCGAAATTGACTTGCATGCGTTTGCATTTGATTTCATTGAGCGAAACGTCAAATCAAAATGTCACGCAGAACAAAAATTGGAAATTGAGTTAGCTTCATACGCACGCCGTTCAATTTCGGTTGATCTCATACAAGATGCATGTGCATGAGAAATTTTTGACAATAAATTGGCGGCGTGCGTGAATATTAGGTTAGCCTGTTAGAGTTTTGTGTTGGCGTTTAGTGACAGCAGCTGGCAGCAAGCAAGTAAGAAAGTTGGCAATCCAAGCAACTGGCGGGCAGTAGGGCGCGCGCCTAACAAGGGAAATCCCATTAAGTGCTTTGGGGTGCAGCAGCCGCAAGTAGCGCCACTGAGCGCGCCCATCATCATCGACGAACGCCGCACAGCAGTGCGAGATTTGTAATAATTTTTCAAATTACACAAAGCACTAAAGGTCTCTATGTGAAGCAGCAGCAGTAAGCACCAGCAACGCAATAAGAGCTATGGCTTTAGCAATGAGTTACTTTTGACGAGCTGAATGAGTGGGTGGGTTGCTATTGAATTGTTTAAAGTAATGGATACTCGTATTTTGGTTTAAGAGTTTTGGGTGAGGTCGTGTTGTGGGTTATTGTTTTTGTTAATGTAATAAAGTTTAGCGTTTGTTAGCTTTTTATCGACGATTTGAAGATTTCTTAATGCTGGGTAGGAATTTAAATATGAAATAATAATAAAATACCTTATTCTATTAAAAAATATCAATTTTTTAATAAAAAAATTTTAAATGTATTTTTATTTTTTTCAAAATAAAGTATGAAAATTAAAAAAAATAAAAATTTTACATCAAAAATATTTAGTGAGTAACTTTACTATAGATAGAATATTCAGTCAAAGTCTGAAATAACCATTGTTGTTTATTAATATTTTCTACAGATATTTTCTACTGAACTGTAATTTAAAACACTTTGGCTTGAATAGGGTGAAATGGTTAGGCGGTTAAGAGTTTTTATATATAATTCCTGCGAACTAAATAACAGTAAACCAAGGTTCTTTATTTTAGAAGTAAACTAAAATTCTAAAAATCTCTGGTAAAAAAAAACTTCCAAATTTGCTGATTTAGAAAAGAACTATAGATTTTATTTAGTTATTTATGAAGATTAATTATACTGCAAAGACACTCAAACTTTACGGATTTTTTGAATATCAAAATTTGTTCAAAGGTAAAAAAATCGTTTTAAGTGAAGAGTAATTATACTTCAAATACCATAATTTTTCAAATATGAAATTTTTCAAAATTAAAAAAAAATAAGTTCAAAATTAGAAAGTTTTTTAATTTTTTTTTTTAATTACAGCGGTCGGACAGCAAGCTAAAAAAATCGAGTTATCTAAAGCTCGACGCTTAGTACATAAACTTGCTCTGGAGCATTCCAAAATTGGCAAAAATTTATTTTTACAAAAAGCAGCAAAAATTTTAAAACTTAATGGCCGACAATTTATTTTTAACACTTGGAAAACGATTTTTCTTTGTTTGCACACCTCGAAATGTCCAACGCAAAATAGCAATGCAAACCAATGCAATTATGGCAACAATACTGGTTGAATGGAATTTTCCCAATACATACACACACACACACCTTTTAGAGTACAAATATACCCAGAGGCATGTGCGTAAGGGCATATCAATCGCAATCGTGTCGATCATTTATGGTGCGCTCATTTATTATCGCCCATTACAGAGTACTCGTACAATGATCGACTGAACTGCAACTGCAACTGCAACGGGGTGGGGTACGACTGCGCAATAGTGCCGTCGTGAGCCAAGCCAACAGCGGCGTGCAATATGCGTAACAAAAACCACACTGCTACTACTACTTCAAGTAACAAAGCGGAGGAGAATGCGAATGTGATGTGTGACGATGAGGAGGTTGACTGTTTGGTTTGTGGTTGGGGCCTTAGCGCTTAATTTAAAGCTGCAGCCGTTGATTCGTGTTGCTGACTGGCGGGCGACCTGCCAGCCACTTAACCACCGGTGCGCATATAGCATGCGGCAGCACTACACACTCTGGCTGGACGACGCATGCCACTTAAACATGCAACCATTGCCCAGTTGCTGCTGACTGCCGACCATTGTGGAAGAATACAAGTGAGATATCTTAGGGTTGACAGATAGTTGACAGGGTGTTCAATATGGCGATGACAGTGTGAACAATATGGCAGCCAATATGGCATACAACACCGAATGGCCCGAAGTTGCAAAACTACGACCCGAATGAAACGCTTCGTGAAAATCCAGGGTTGCGAAGTGGTATTTTGTTGGAAAATATAAACGCCAGGATTTTGTGCAGCGCCGAATTTTAACAAAAGAGGGTTTTGTGTTCTCAAGATGAACAGAAAAGGGTTGCTGTGCTGTTTCGTTTTAAGCTTGTTTTAATCTAAAGGTATCTAATTAAATATTAAAAGGATACAAAAATTAAAGCAAAAATTTAAAATATATGTACATATCTGAAAATTAAAAAAAATATATATATATTTTCACGAGAGACAAATTAAATAAAATGGGTTAACTTTAGGGGAAATATACTTATCAGAATGGGTCAGATAGGGCCTTTACGTTATAAATAAAAATAATTCCTACTTAAATTTTATATAATTTTGGTGACGTATTTCTAAGCTGGCCGTGAGATCTGTGAAATAATACATATTTATGTGCATATATTGTGTTGATTATGCTCTAAATCGCTAAATAATTCTTGCAGCAATCAGCATCATTGGAAAGTGAAGTGACAATAGGCTGGTTTTCTTTATACAGCCCGTTTTAAATTCGAATTATTGTTATAATAAATTACAATTATTGTTTGTTTCCATTTCGGTCAACCGCGCAAATTATTTATTAAAAAAATTTCGTTTAAAAATAGCAGATTTTGTTTACTTTTGAATAAGACTTTATCGAGTGCGGTATAAAGACACGGGTATAAATGCTGTAAAGAAATATATGTTGAGTCCAATCGGTTTTTTGCTAATACGGTTCTTGTGTAGGTATAAACAAGGTATATTAAAAAAATACCTCTCCATGAAAAAATATCGTTATTTTCGTATTTTAAATTAATCGAAATTTTATGGGGGGTTATAAAAACTGGTTTTAATCGAAACTTTGTTTTTTTCGGCTATATTTGTTATTATTTATTGGCCCAGATGTAAATATTGAATGAACTAACATATTTTAAATATTTACGGAACTACCATTTGTATGCAACCCTGCCTATCCTATATTCAAGTAGATGTAATTCGAAAAATTTAAACGGATTTCTTCAAATCAACCTGAGCTGCGGACATATTGCGAATTCATTTTTAAACATTAACCACTACATTATGTTAGTATTAAATACTTTCAATTAAGAAACAATTCTTATTAGAAAATAAATATGAATCGTTTTATTTTAAATATTCCAATGTATATTTTTTGTTAATGCAGATAGTGCGGATTTAACGTATTTTATATCCGTTACATGGGGATCATAAATTTAAGGCAGATTGCTATTAACAATTTTTACACAATTTACGATTGCAATCAATTTCTTTCAAAACTATAATCTAAATGATTGCAAGTTGTACGATCAAAACAGATTCCAATATTAGGTATATTATGGAAATGCAATCCAATTTGATTTGAGTTATTCAGTTTTAGATACATTTATATTTCTGTGTTCGTATGGAATAGTAGTTTATGTCGGGAAGCTGGCTTTATTATTTACAACACAAGGAATTTTTTGATGACCCTTAACAAGAATATGGGCGTGCTAGTATCGGAACTATTTCTTGCACGTTTATTTGCCAAAATTTCTTCAACGGCTCGGCGCCAGTGAGGGTATGCTGCGAATGCCGCATTATACTAAAACCAGCCTTTTGACATAAGCTATTCCATATGAGTGGGGCACGTGCGAAATGCGGATTTGCAGTACTGCAGTATCTCGACACCTTCCTCACCAACAGCTCTGTCCTCTATGAGCTTCTTAATGTAAATGCAAATAAAAGATGGAAATTTAAGAAAAATTACATCACAGCGTTTCACTCTTGTAGTTTATTGGCTATCAAGCACCAGAAAATTTCCATCACGCATTCCATATGCCACCGATTGTCGTGGATCAATTAAAATACTGTCATCACAGCTTTTTGGTACTGCAGCAACTGGTGTGTGTGTCTATGTCGGAGTTATGTGGAGCTGTTGCATGACTAAAATCAATTTGGACTCTTTGAGAGCTGGCTTGCTTGTTGCGAGAGCTATTGGCATCAAATGTATGCAAATTAGATTTCCAAACGAGCAACTGTTGAATACAGGAAAAAATATATATTATGTGGTTCCGCTAAAGTGCACTACTACCGTGTATAAATTGGTCGACCTTCTAATAAATCAAGCAATCTTATTGTATCGTCATCGCCGCCAGTCACCAAGAAATTTCCACTTGGGTGAAATGCAACATCATTCTCCGGCGACGAATGCACTGTATTAGCTCGCCTTCAGCTATGTCAAATATCTTAAAGCGGTTACAACTTAATGCTAAAGCCACCAGATTACCGTCTAGATGCCATGTCAGCTGTCGTCCCATACCTCTTCCCACGGTGAACGTTCGCACACATTCACCTGAAAATGTATCGCAAATTCTTAACTTGTCATCGCCGCGCGATGAAATTAACTTACCATTAGGGCTGAATTTTGCGGCGCGCACCCATTTGTGTGTCCAGTGAAAGATGTGTAATTTTAATCAGTATTTTGATGGCTGTTCGCCATTTTTCTAGTCTGCAAACGAATAAGCTGACGAAGATGCAAACAAATTCAAGCACATTGTTGCATTCTACCGTATTTTTAAAAAGCTTTAAAATCTTAAAACATATGTGAAAAACTTTTATAATCTGAATATTTCTAATGTCGCAATCAAAACGAAATTTTGTAAATAGCATTTTTAAAAAGCAATCATTTAATATTTTTCAAGTTTTTGGGCATATATGTTACCATTTGAACAACAAATACTACCAAGTTTTAAGAGACTATTTAATGCAACTCAGGTCAAAAAGAGCAGTTTAGACCAAGATAAGCAACTCTAAAAAACAGATGATCGCAGCTGTGGCCCAGGATGACGTCTATTGCTAAGATATCTCACTTGTATTTGTACACAATGCTGCCGACCCTTAACACACAATGCAATGCAATGCAATGCAAAGCGTGCGCAGTGGCGATCTATGGCAATCTGTGGGCTGCTATGTATACACGTCGATTGCTATTGATAATCTTCATGGACTGTCCTATTCTCGGCTTGTGGCATGCGTTGCAATTTTAATGTTGCTCAGCGTAGATTTATTTTATTTTAATTTTTTGCGGTATACTTTTGCACGACGACCATTGTTCCTAGCAGCTGCTGTTTGTTTGTTTGCTTTTTTGAATGGCCAGCGCTTGGAATTTCTTGCTGCACCATATTGGAAAATGGACACATTCTTTAGCGTAAACATTTTATTTCTGGAACATGGCAATGTTTGTTGAAGCTCAGTTGACCCGACTGCCCGGCTGGTTGATTGTTTGCTTAGTTGAGTTTGCTGGCGTGTCAGTCAGCGTGCTTGGGTTGCATGCAACTGGCGAGCAGCGCTCACATATCACAGCAAACCTCTCATGGCAATGAGGCAAGTAATTATGGACATTTCATGTAATGCACCTTGACTGGTTGGACGGCTGCTGACGCTGCTATGCAATCTTCCGCCCCAGCGCAATTGCGGTCTCACGTGCTTACTTTGCTGCCATTGCTGCTCCTCGAGCCATGAGCTAGCTATATACTTGCGGCATGTCAGCCAGCAGCAGCACTCATCTATCAAATGTGCCGATTTGAAGACAGTTTGAAATCTGTCTATTTTATTGAGTTTTCTTTTTGATTTTAATTTGTTAGATTTTTCGATTTTCTGGAATACCAAGCTTTTATTATGGCTGCATTTCTTTATTCATTCTGAACGTTTGGAATAAACTTTTTTGTTTATTTATTCTTTAGAACGTTCCTGATGATATGTTGTCGTATATTTCAAACGCATTCTGTTTATTCCGGCAGTGAAATTGGATTATCCGGAATGTATAAAGAAACGCAGCCTATTGTTGCAACTTATGTGTGTATATACTATGCATGCATGAGTATTTAAAAAAACTCATATATGTATCTCCATTGCAATTTTTCGCCTTTCCATATTAAGTGCTAAAAATTTCAAGTTATCCGCGACTATTCTATCGCCAACTATAATAAATGTTTGTCTATACTTTTGTACCCATTTGCTTATATTTTGTACCTAGTGTATCCATATCGTTAACTGATATCAGTGATGTGATATCTGCACTACTCTTTGTTCGCATTGATTTGTTGGAATTCATTTGCTTGGCTTTTGTATGCTTTTGTCATTGTTTGGACCGTACCGCCGTTTCTTGTTGCCAATTAACCATTTTGAGCTGTCTGGAATTGGTTCGAAATGCCTTTGATGTGAGTGGTGTAAGGGGGACGTTGATTTAAATAATTACATTAGCGTGATTTTTAAACACTTGGAAATTGCCAGTGAAAGGACTTTACTTTGAGCTTTGAAGAGATTTAAGGCGATTAAAAGTTGAAAAGTACTGGTGATATTTTTAGCTAATGCAGTTTTTAATATAGGATTTCGTTCAAACCAGTTTATATTTTTATGTTTTATTGTGTAAGCCATCTCTTGTACTAGCTCAAAATCATATATCAAAATGATTGGTGTCAAAAGCGCAATAACCATTTCATAATCGATTCGCCCAATTCGTTTTTTTTCGCTGGAAGCGCTTGAAACTAACTACATATGTCAGTTCATGGAAAAAACGCAAAATCGGTTTCGAAATTTTAATAACCGTTTCATAACCGATTCGCCCGATTCGTGCTTTTTTGCAGGAAACTCACAATTAGTGTCAAAATACCAATAACTACATATTTCATAAGCGATTCCATACGAACAGAATTGGCAGAAAATGCTTAATACCAAGAAAAAAAGTATTTTTCTAATTCAATTTCTAACTTTTTTCACTTGGTAGATGAAAAATTGGTGATACTATTGCTAAAAGTTTATGTAGATTAGCTCTTGAAAAATAATGATAAATATATGTATGTATAACTGTGACTCTCCTAGGCTTGATACGACAATTACAAATGCTCTAAGTTACACCGAAAAAAAACTTCCTTTCCTACCCATCTTTCATCAGTAGTCACTATCTGCCACACTATTTTTGGCGACAATAACTTAATTATAGTTAAATGTCAGTTTATTCAACAAGTGTGAAGCGCTGTCTTACTAATGACTTTGAAATTTGTCAAGATCTTATGTAGAATATCTTTCCGCCTTATTTGTATGTATGTATGTATATTAGGCCGGGTCGATTTGTGGGGAGGGAAAAAAATCGCCCATTGCTCTGTGAAAATCATATTCTAGGGATCAAAATAAGAAACTTTGCCGAAGGAACCATACCTCTAAAACGAATTCTGATGTCCCCCAATTTGGGTCGAACTTTTGGGTAGGGGCAAATTTTGAAAAATCCCACTTTGACCCATTTAGAGTGCTCCAATCGAGTCCAAATGTATGACCGACCCCCACTAACTTTGGAGGCCCGACCCACCGATGCCAGTGGCACACCCCCTGGAACCCCCTTGGGGGTTCATCATACAAACATTTCAAAAAATCGCCGGTTTTGCACTTTACATGAAAAAATCAGCGAAATGCCTATGTTTTTTCTTTTTGGAGTTTATTTTTCTCTTTAGAAATTTATTTAGTCAGAACATATGTAAATGAAAAAATCAATTTAACTAAGTAATAGAAAAGAAATTAAAAAAAATTATTAGAAATTAGCGTTTTTACAACCCTTTTAAAACCAAGGCATCACTGTGATGCATTTGCATGTCGTAAACATAGTTGTGTGAGTTTTTTATTCAACCGTTTTAAAAAATGAAGGTATCACTGTGACACAATTGCAAATCGGAAAATTGCTTGTGTGCGTTTTTTAAGACACAGCTGCATGTCGTAAACTTACTTGTGTAGTTTTTTTATAGCACCTACTTAAGAAATGAAGGTTGTTTTTACAACCCTTTTTGTGGGTATTTTAAGGCACCTTCTTAAGAAATGCGCGTTTTTTGCACCCATTTTAACAATTAAGGTATCACTGGAATGCACCGCAACCCTTTTAAACAATGAAGGAATCACTGTGACATAATTGCAGATCGTAAAATTGCTTGTGTTGTTTTTTTTAAGCCACCACAAGACACAGCAGGTAGAATTGAAATTACCATTTCATTCTTATTACCTCGTCTCGTAGACCATATATAACGCAACAGTTTTTGTGAATGCATTAAGTCGTTGTGAAGAACTCAAAGTGTGAAGTGATAATTTCAGATAAAAAAATATTTCAAAAAAAATAATAAGTGAAGTGACCATTCCAAATCAAAAAGTTTACAATGAATCCACCATCCTCTACACCGCAAGATGAAGCAACTACATCAACAACTATCGAAAACCCAATGAGTTATATACCCAAGCATGATGTTACTGTTTTTGGTGTGTCTACTGATTTAACTGATCTTAATTTACCAACCCATCTGGATATCTTGAGATATTATTTTTACTTAAGCGAACGTGCTAAAACAGAACAAAAAAAGTTTTCCCATAAATCATTCACTATTCAAGTACAAGGTAAGTTGATTGGAATTTGGGAAAAACTTGGTATGGAAATAATGCTGAAAAAAAGTGTATTTAATAAATTGCTTGACAAGTATCAAGAGCAAATCAAGAGAAGAAACAACACCCAACAATTTAAAGAGTATGTAAAATCTCTGGAAACAATTTTTTACATTGGAACATGTAAATGCGATTTGAAGGCAGCTCCATGTGCATGCGGCTGGGTTCCCGAACGCCTCAAAGAGTTCATACACGATCAACATAATCAGAGAAGACTAACAACGGATGCATTTGTGATGGAAACTGAAGAGCAAGGAGCAACGTCTATGTCATCAATGCCAACATACCAAGATCCCGATGATTCAACATACGCACCGCCACCGGTTCAAGAAGATATGGATAGAAGCACAAGTTCGCAATACACAGAGAGATACGATTGTTTTAACTTTGCCTTGGTATGTGACAGATTTGGTGTGCCTGACAGAGTAGCATCAACATTGGGAACCGCTCTTTTGCAAGATTTTAAAATTAAAGATAAGCATGGGAAACCTCTCATCATGGATAATTCGAAAGTTCGCAGAGAAAAAGAGAAATGCAGACAAGAAGTGTTTCGCAAACGGTTAGATGATAGCAATTTGTTAGCGTTAGACGATAGATAAAATTGATGAGAAGTATCATACTAGGATGGTAAAAGAACCTCATCTTGTTATTTTGAGAGAACCCAATTCTGAATTGATTGGTTACGTAAGACTGGAACATGAATACAAAACAACCAAATTAAATGGTTTTTTCAACGATAAAAATATATTACTGGATGCATTAATTGGAATATGCACTGATGGTGAGCCAACAAACACTGGCCCACACGGTGGAATTATACGACGATTCGAATTGCTGTTAAAAAGACCATTGCATTGGTTCGTTTGCCTTCTACATTTCAACGAACTTCCGTTTCGGCATTTGTTTGAAGCTTTGGATAAATCAACCAGCACTGGACCAAGATCGGAAACCGGAAAACTGAGCCGTCAAATCGAAACTTGTGAAACTCTTCCGGTAAGTTATTGCTATCACTCATTTATTATAATTGTCAACCATTTTTAATTATTTTATTATTATATATTTTCAGGTGGTG